ATTTCGAGTCCTAGTTCTTTACCGCCTTTCATTAACGTTTTCGTATTTAGTTTTAATATATTAATATATTAATTTTACATATATATATTAATATATATATATATATATATATATATATTAATATAATTAATTTTAGAATTAATATATTAATACTCTTATAATTTTCTTTATTATATACGAACCTATTATTTCTTTTGGAAGTATCCCAACAATATAAAGCGATCTTCCACGAGGTTATATGATTAGTTAAAAAACATAAGAGATATTACAATATGGACGAATTTTAGTTTTATATTTACAATCCTGGTTATAACCTCAATTTAAAATAAATATTTCTTACCTTCATCAGGGACAATTAACTCTTCTTCTTGCTTCACGTGAATGGGTCCACCTACAATCATTTAAATTATATATCTTAAAAAAGTAATAATATTAAAAGGATTTTATAACATTTTAAATTGAAACTAAGTTTAGGTAAACACAGTTCAAATCAAGAATTTAATCCTCTAAAATTAAACAAAACAAAAGAATCACACTTTAATTAATTAATTAATACTCATTATTTTAAAAAGAAAACTTCACCAGTAGGCTCAGTTTCATCAGTTATTTCTTCTTTGATCCCAATAGTAGAACTACTTGTACCTGAAACAGCAAACAACAGAGAATCAATTAATATTTAAATGATAAAACAACATTAAAATTCATTGTATAATTTAAAATGTAAATAACATATTCAAAATGGAATAATTAAATACATAGATTAATTAGTGTAAGGTGTACTTAATTTATTAGCGATTGTAAATAACATTAGTAACAGCTTAGAAACATTTCACTTTTCCAGCGGGCAAGCTGGCGGACAGAATGTACCATTCTCGCTCTTCAGGATATTAAATATCTCCAATAATTATATAATTGATATAATTACCGGCAAAAATTCAATAATTCTACTTGTTTAATTTAGTATTAATTTGACCGCACTCCCCTATCAACTCCTTCTCATATTATATCAACAGTCAACCATCTCTACATTATTATAAATATCTCCAAGTTCCCGGATGTCATGGTGATCATAGCTATTTTTCATCAAATCTTTATTGTCCTTCATACCTGTCCCTGACTCTAAAAACTGCCAGAATTTTTTCAAATTGCTTAAGAAAATTGAAGTTTTTTATTTTCTGCTAGCTGTTTATTTTGAAGCCTTTTTTTTTGTCACAGAAATCAATATGCTTCATTGGAACAGGAATATGCTTGTGAGCATTTCATGTCATCAGCAAAACAAATCTGATTACGAGTGTTTAATTTGTTCCTTTTAATATTTTTGATTTTTACATTTGTCATTTTTCTAATTGCTTTTTATAGTAAACTTGTTATATTGTTATCAAGCTTACAAAATTTATACAAAATATGTACATAAAATATTTTAATTTTTTATTTTATTGAATATATCCTGCTTTTTATTTAATATACAAAAAATAAACATGCTTGTTTTTCAATAATAAAATTAAGTAAAATCAACAAAGTTACACAAATTTAATACAACTAGAGATTGTATTAATACATATTAATGTACAAAATGCTGAATTTGTAAGTTAAACAATAGAAACAAAACATTAACCTCTACTAAAAAGGCGTAACACACACAAATGTATAATCAAATTTTCATGTTTCTAATGGATAACAATCACATCACACAGTACTTTTTCATGTTATTCAGCATAATAACTTAATAAAAGAACAGGATTATATAAACTTTTTGGCCAGAAGGTGACATTGAGACTTCCAATAAGTCCCGTAAGCCAAGCCATAGCATTTGACAAAAAAAAAAACTTGTTCTTTAAATGAAACTTCAGTAGTGAAATGAGGTTTCTAAGAGCTACAACTCATGCAATATATGTTTAATTAAACTTGTGTTTGAGTGTGATTTACTAAATGTAATGTTTTTTAAATCATTATTAATTTTACCATGTAAGCAAAGAAATTTTCCCAGGTCAGATCGAATGTTCTTAGTTTGGAGACCCCTGGCTCAGAATAACAATAATTTTGAATGTGAGAATCCAATTAAAGTTAGGAAAAAAATTATAATTCAAATCAGTCTCTAAAAACCGACATAATAATGCAAAAAATAATATATATGACAAAATTATACCAAATTAATAAACAAAATTCATGTGTTTTTGTTCACTGCAGTAGAAATCTGGGGCGGTGCACACATCACACGACTTTTACTTGACATAGGGGAGCGAAAGTAAAAATTATAGGCGCTATATTTATTTACATTTCATTGTGGGTATTTTTATTTGTTTAAATACCCTTATATAGACAAATTTTAATTATTATATCACTGTATTTCATATAATTAAATATTAAATAATACCAATGATAGCATTTATGAAAACCGCACAAGTATATGTACATAATATTGTTGGAATCCGTATTATATTAAACTCATGTCATGTATGTACTCTTTCGGGTGAGCTCAGACGCACTCGTATACCTTTGGTTCTTCCATTACAACTATTATCCGCTACTATCTCTCATTTCTCCTATAGTTAATTATCAAATTCGTTCATATTTTATATTTAACTATCTTTTATATTAGAGATTAATGTGAAAAAAATTAAAGATACTTTACGAGAAGCTAATATTGAAAATTAGCCATTTAAAAATTTCTATGGCCACAATGATGTTTTATAGATTATACTTCATCTTATTTGTTTCTATTAACTTTTTGTTACAAATAATAAAAAAATGGGCCTATAAAACTGTTGGGCCAAATAATGAACAAATCCCTAAAAAGTTAATTATTATTAAATTTACTAATCCCGACTGATAAGTATCCAAAGGGTAGCCAAAGTGAAAGTGAGAAATATGCAAAAAAAACAATTGGTGGTATCAACATCAAACCTTCGGATCCACTATTTTCTAGTTACTATGATTACGCTATCACTTTGTTGTCTTTACTTTATAACTTCCTACAGTATAATATGGTGCACCTGTTAGGTTATGATGACCACATTGATATTGTTGCATGCTCCTTTGCAGCTCTCGAAGGTGCCTTTCTTGAATTGCAAAAAGGTGCAGCTAAGATGGGACTCCACATTAATGTGAATAAGATAAAATATATGTATACAGGAGAACGAGAGAATCCCCAAAACCAAAGAATATCTCTAGGCCCTTATACCTTTGAGAATGTCTGAGAGTTCTCTTATCTGGGATCTCAAATTACAGCAAAAAATGAGACGACACTTAAAATAAAGCGGAGAATGGCAACTGCCAACCGATGCTATTTTGGCCTACTTAAGCACATGTGAAGCTCACTACTTAGTAGACGAACGAAGCTGCAGCTCTATAAAACGCTCAGTTCTTACCTAAAGTAGCCAAACATGGACCTTAGCCAAAAATGACGAAAAACACCTTCTGGTCTTTGGAAGGAAAATCCTTAGAAGAATATTTGGCCCTGTAAAGAAGGGGCTGGATAGGAGAATTCGGAAGAATAGAGAGGTCTACAAATTGTTTAATGAACCTAATGTGGCAAGAATAATAAAATTAGGAAGGTTAAGTTAAGCTGGGCAGGATACATAGCTCGGATGGAGAGGTCTGAAATCCCGATAAGAGTGCTTGAGGAACCATTATACTATATGAGGAGAACTGGCAGACCAAATTGAGATGGGTAGATGGTGTGGCAGGTGACGCGAGTCTTGATGGGAGTCAGGAATTGGAAAGTGGCCGCACAGAATAGAGAAATTTGGTGGAAGCTCATTGAGGAGGACAGGACCCACTAAGGGTTGTAAAGCCATAAAGATAGATAGATAACTTCCTAAATTTATACATCATTTGTAAATGTTAGGTTAAACGGTTTACATATACTTGTCAAACTATTTTTACATATATCAATATAGTAATTTTCTTATTATTTACATACTACTATCTAACATGAAATATTTTCACACATCTATTCATATTTATTCGCATTCATTCACATTTAATCACTATGTAGTTTTTATTTTTAGTAGAACAGTTATTTTTGTTTACATTATTATTTGTATATACAGATACTAATTTAAATTTATTATAACTTTAATTTGTTTTCTTACTTTAATTGCTAATAGTTTAATTCAATTCTCACTTTCACAATTATCCTTATTTTAAGCTATTAATTCTCAGCCATTCCCTATTCATAAATATCAATTATGGAAAAAACTTTTTTTTAATTTGAAACATCATTTTGTCAACAACTTAATTCTGTATCTGAATATGAATTATTAAAAAATATGTATATATAAAAAGAATATTTTAACAAACAAATAATTAAGCACAATCTTGGACACATCAGGTAAATTTTAAAGATTTTTAATTTAATACAGATTTAAGTGAATACAATTAAAATCAAGGAAATAAATCCATAAAAATTACTAAATGGAAGGGACCACACTTCTCAATATTCATAATTTTAAAAGGATAAAACTCACAAGGGGGCTGAGTATCCTCAATTATTTCTTGCTTAATCCAAATAGTAGAACTACTGGTATCTAAAACGGCAAAAGACAGACAATAAATTCATGGTTTTATAAAAAAATAACATAAGCAAACTTTGAATACATGTAGATAAGATAAAAAGGTTAAAAAATATTGATCCCTTTCAATGTGAAACAAAAATATTAAAATAAAAATCATAATTAATTTCTTTTTCTTATAAATTATAATTCTACTAACCAATTTGATCCATCGTGAGCTTAGAAATATATCACAAAGATATCCTGAACACAAAGTATGATTTCTTATCGATTTCTTTTAAAATGTGCAAATAGAAGATAAGTCGTTCGCAGAAGAGGAGTCCAAAAGAACGGTTCCATAGAATTAAAAAAATAACGAACAGAAAAATTGTAATCACTCCATGAATTTATATGGGTTCGCCACTAAAGAGTCTTTAACCCAAAAACTAGTGATTTAACCCTGGGCCCACACTACAGGCAAATCGAGGCAAATTCCCGCAATTTGCCTCAATTTGATGGCAGTTTGCCTAAGTTTGCTAGCGCCACTGTAGTAGGGAACAAAGGAAAGGGCGAGAGTGGGAGAAGGTGGTGGGGATATTTTGACCTGCTGGTGGAAGGTAATGGGCTGTTTACCCCAGTTTGTTGCACCCTGGGCCCACACTACAGGCAAATCGAGGCAAATTCCCGCAATTTGCCTCAATTTGATGGGAATTTGCCCGAGTTTGCTAGCGCCAGTGTCGTAGAGAACAAAGGAAAGGGCGAGAGTGGGAGAAGGTGGTGGGGATATTTTGACCTGCTGGTGGAAGGTAATGGGCTGTTTACCCCGGTTTGTTGCACCCTGGGCCCACACTACAGGCAAATCGAGGCAAATTCCCGCAATTTGCCTCAATTTGATGGGAATTTGCCCGAGTTTGCTAGCGCCAGTGTCGTAGAGAACAAAGGAAAGGGCGAGAGTGGGAGAAGGTGGTGGGGATATTTTGACCTGCTGGTGGAAGGTAATGGGCTGTTTACCCCGGATTGTTGCATATCCATCCGGAATGGAAAACTTAGGCAAAATCTAAGCAAGTTTTGCATTATGGCTGTTGCGCTACGCTAGTGATGCATTGAATTACAGTGACTTAATAATACAGTGCGGTCATATAGATTCGATTTCTGATTGGTTGGCCATCTTGGATCGTCCCTTGCTATCTGCTTGCTCTTTAGGCACCTCAAAACTGTTAAAATTTCATATTTTATTAGCAGTATTTTAGTTCAGAAGCTTAATTTTGTTGTTTAAGTGATATGTTTAGTTTATTAATAGGTAGTTTTTATTGAATAGTTATACGTTTTAGTGTTTTCAGTGATTGTTTTGGTTTCTTGTTCAGTGACAGGTTTCATCTTTACAGACCTATTTTATTAAAAAGTTTAATTGTGTTGTTTTAGTAATAAATTTAGTTTACTAATAGGTAGTTTTTATTGAATAGTTGTACGTTTTAGTGTTTAAAGTGATAGTTAACCTATTCATGTTCAGTGATAGGTTTCATCTTCACAGACTCATCTTTTATTAGTGATATTTTGTTTGAAAGTTTAATTGTGTTGTTTTAGTAATAGATTTAGTTTATTAATAGGTATTTTTTATTTAATAGATATATTTATAAGTGTTTAAAGTTAAAGTGACAAGTTTGGTTTCTTCTTCGTAGACTTAAAATTGTGAGTATACTTTAATTTTTTACTTTATTTTATTAATTTTCCTTTTTAATTCAGTGGTAATGAAAGAAAAAGATGGAAATCAAGTTTGAAACTTGGTTATATGAAGACAATGTCAATAGTTCGAGGCTATTAGCTAACACAATTTTTATCTTGAAGTTATTAGTTTCCAGTAAAAAATTGAAATTTTGTTTTCCTTTATAGTTATTGTTACTTTCATCATTAAAATATGAGTATCATTTAAGGTCAAGATTATCATTTAAGGATCATCAACTATACTCAATTAAACTATGATTTAAGGATCATCAACTACACTCATATTTTTAAAATTGAAAGTAACAATAACTATAAATGAAAAACAAATTTCAATTTTATAATTGAAACCACTGACTTCAAAATACAAATTGTATCAGCTAATAGCCCCAAACTATAAAAATATCTTCTATAATCAAGTTTCAAACTTAATTTCAATATTTTTCTCTCATAACCACTGAATTACAAAGGAAAATTAATAAAATAAAGTAACAAATTTAAGGATTAAGTCAATTTCGAAACCTATATGAGCCAAATCAAGTCAGAGGTGATTTAAGAGGATTTTTCATAGAGAAAAATGAGTTCTGTTGATGAAGAACACATAATTAATTGTCACAATATTAAAGATATTATTCTTAAGAGGTTTATTGTATTTAGACTTAGGATAGATTCAATATATAAAAAGATTTTCCCTCATATGTCTGTTTTTAGCAGTAAATCTTTAAATATATATGTGCAGCATTTATAAATTTAAATTCCTTTATAAATAAATAAATATTCTCTGTTTTATCTTTTTTTTTTTATATATATTCCTTTGTTGATTAAAAATGTTTTCTTTTTCAAATTAAATTGGATAGTACTTAAATCAATTGATAATTGATTGTATTTTATCCTTACAGTTTTATACTTCACTATTAGTTATTTTTACTTGATATATCCTGTGTGATAAAACTGAAAATATATTATAGCCAATAATCTCTAATTTCTCAAAAAAGTAATGAAAAATAAATAAAACAAGAGATAGCTTAGATTCTGGACTAATGGAAAATTCAGGTGTGACGAATATTATTACAATTTACCATATTATGATTATTAATCCATTTCATTGATAACAAGTGTATTGATATTGATTGGTAAACAGAAATTTTCAAATTATACAAAAACTAAGTTATACCACTCCGAAACAAATACTCTCCCTACCACCTTTAACAGGCTTAAAAGTGAAATGATCAATTTTTTTTCTACTTTCGATGCAATATACAATATCTACATTATGGTAAGAGGTAAACCATTTCATAAAAAATATTTTATATCAATGTTCAGGAATGAATCAAGGTTCAAATTTTGAGTTATTTAAATTTGTAATAATTGTGGATTTATAATAGTTAGTGTTATCCAAAATAGGTATCGGTCATGCACTTGTAAGACCAAGACGAAGACCACGTAACTGTTGCAAGACTAAGACTGTTAAAAAAATAATAGTTTTTATGAATAAAAATTAAGGTGAAATAATCACTAAAATTTGACAAATTTAGTTACCATATGTAAAGAATTGGTATAACCAATATCGTTTGGAATTTAACTCTCAATTTTTCATTTGGGCTAAGTTAGGTTTTCCATATATGAAAAATTACAATAATAAGCTAATAGGTAACTAGAAGACTGTTGCAAGATTTGCACAAGACCAAGACCTGTCATGGTCTCGCATTTGGCCAATACTAGTTGTGGTGTTCAGTCACATGTAATAAAGTAAAAATAAATAAATTATATTTATTAAATTTACATTAAATAATTTATTTTTATTACATTTACTTTATATTTATTAAATTTACATTTATTTAAAGTTTTGTTTTTTTCAAAGGAGAATATTAAGAATAAAAATAAAAATAGTTTCATGGTTGCTGGCTTAGAATTGAGTTTCTGGTTTTCCAATGAAAATTAATTTTCACTCAGTTTTTGTTTAATGTTTTAATAATTATATAATTTTTTTTGTGAAATTTGCGATGAGAGAATTAGATGAATAAAATGGAAATCACAATATGCCGAAGTTTATTGAAATATATTTTTTAAGAAGTTAAATATAAAAAACAAATATTGTTCTTTGACTTTATTATTTATTTTCGCGTGATATAAGTGATTCATATGCTTCATTCAACTTGCCCAACTTTAATTCTATCTTCCAAACCTTTCTAGTTAATAGTTTGTAACAATAATTACTTTTTAATTTGAAATAACAATGAGAGACTATTCAAATATTAGTTTCCCGCCGATCCAATATGGCCGCCCCATCGGTATGACCGCACTGAACGACACACTTAAAAGTTAACTCACTCTGGGGTGTGGTACACCCCAAACTTGAAATTATCATAAAATTTAACTGTAATGCTCTGGATGACTCAAATACTTTTCAGAAATAAGCTAAACAATTAGGAAAATAATATAAAAGGTAACCTATAATATAATATAGTTAAATAATTCAGTATACATCATCGATTTATTCCAAAAAAATAATTTTTTAACATTTCAGAAAGTTAAATTAGTGAATAACTTGATTTTTTCCTCTATGAAATCATTACATTATCTAATCACAAAGTGCAACGGCTTTTGATCTTTCATGATGCAACTAAAAGCTTTTGACTCTGTTTTGATAAATTTTACAAGGAAGAAAATAAGAGTTAAAATACATGTAAAAAGTGATGGAAATTTAATTCCTATAGTTTTAATTACATAGTAAAATCCTTACTTATTCACAGAATAAATATATGTACTTTCAAATTTCACTTTGTATATAGAGCTAAGAGACTGAAGTTATGTGATTCAAAAATATGTTTGGAGTTTTTATTGCTTACTGATGATATAATAAATAGGGTTTGTGTTATCTTACGGTAAAATTAATGAGTCTTTGCATTGATAAATATGATCGAAATTCACAAATGTGTTCTTTAAGATTTAGCTCCTTAAAAGATGTATATTAATAAATTCTCGCAATAGCTCAAATAAGCCAGAAAATAATTTCTGTCCAAAGGAAAGTGGTGAGTGAAAGTTATGTTAAAAACCAAATTTTTTATTTTGCCATCGTCAATTGGTAACTACACATGATGAAATCTTATTATTAATCTTTTTAAAAGCTAAACATCAGAAACAATTGATAAGTTATTTATTATTATTATTTATTTATTTTAAATAATTTTAGATATTATTATTTTAAGAACTGTTTTTTTCATATAATTCGGAAGTAAAAAATAATTATAATAGAACCATGATTATTTAAATCAGAATCAATATTGTAGTAGATAATCTCCAGTATTAACTCCATTATGTGACATTGTGAGAGGGAATGAGAAGGAATATATAGGAATGTGAGGTTGCACTATGGATTGTACTCAAATGTGCAGTGGACAAATTATTCATTGAAAAGTCTGATATCGATAAACAACCGACGAAAGAGGAATAAGGTTGGAAATGGAACGAGCAGGTAGCAACAGCTGGAGAAGGACGCTGAAGAGAAGAGAACTCACTCTAGGCCACAGGCGAACCTACGGAGGGGGATTTCGGGCTGAAGCCCTCCCCCCAAAAATGATAAAATCTAATCATGTTTTACAGAAAAAAAAATATTAAAAACTACCTCTTAAAGTATTCTTGTTCGTTTAATTATAATTAATAGGACTTCAAGAACCACTTAAACACCATTTCATATAGGTAGTTAATTTCTTTCTTTTAAAAAAAATTAATTATCGTTACATGTAAATGAAAAAAAAAATCTTTCGGGCTGAAGCTCCCTCTCGAAAAATTAAATCCTAGATACGCTAGTGCTCTAGGCCGAGACAGGAAGGATGATGGTTATCAGAGGCACTGCACTGAAGATTAAGAATATCAAGCCTAAAGTTATGAGACTTTAATATATTCACTTATTACAGTTGTAGAAATAAATTGTTTTGTTAGACAGGAGTGAAAAGTCACTTATTTATTTAGTTGTCCCATAGGCCTCACGATTGAAGAATAACAAACCAAGTGAGTCAATTCATTCAAAGTGAATTTACTCAGTCCCATATTATATATATATATATATATATATATGCTGCTTTCAAAAATGGCGGCTGATTTAAAGAATATTATGCCAGTAATTTGGGGATCGAAACGGAAAATCCATTGCGAAAAATATGAGAAAAGTTTTTATTTTTTTAACTTGTATATATGGGTTTAGACATGTAAAAATCAAAATTCCTGCGCCGACCAAGATTTTTTTTACCAAACTACCAGTCAAACTTTTTACAACCAAAAAGTCAGATTTTTCAACATTTTTTTTGTTTTTTCACGTATAACTCCTAAATGATGCATCGCAGCGAAAAATGTAC